GGAGGGGGAAGGTTTAGTCAGGCCCAACTTTGGGAGGGGGTGGGTTCCACTTGGAAACCCCCAGGTACCGACTTAGGCCTGGCTTTGGGAGAGGGAAGGTTCAGTCAGGCCTGGCTTTGGGAGGGGGAAGGTTCAGTCAGGCCTGGCTTTAGGAGGGGGTGGGTTCCACTTGGAAACCCCCAGGTACCGACTTAGGCCTGGCTTTGGGAGAGGGAAGGTTCAGTCAGGCCCGGCTTTGGGAGGGGGTGGGTTCCATTTGGAAACCCCCAAGTACCACCTTTAGGTCTGGCTTTGGGAGAGGGAAGGTTTAGTCAGGCCTGGCTTTGGCAGGGGGTGGGTTCCACTTGGAAACCCCCAGGTACTGACTTAGGCCTGGCTTTGGGAAGGGGAGGGTTCCACCTGGAAACCCCCAGGTACCACCTTAAAGCCCAGGTTTAGGAGGGGGTGGGTTCCACTTGGAAACCCCCAGGTACCACCTTTAGGCCTGGCTTTAGAGGATTTGGGTTCCACCTGGAAACCCCCAGGTGCCAACTCAGGCCCGGCTTTGGGAAGGGGAAGGTTCAGTCAGGCCTGGCTTTGGGAGGGGGTGGGTTCCACTTGGAAACCCCCAGGTAACACCTTTAAGCCTGGCTTTGGGAGAGGGAAGGTTTAGTCAGGCCTGGCTTTAGGAGGGGGAAGGTTTAGTCAGGCCTGGCTTTGGAAGGGGGAAGGTTCAGTCAGGCCCAGCTTTAGGAGGGGGTGGGTTCCACTTGGAAACCCCCAGATACCACCTTTAGGCCTGGATTTAGGAGAGGGGATGAGTTCAGTCAGGCCTGGCTTTAGGACGGGGTGGGTTCCACCTGGAAACCCCCAGGTAACACCTTTAGGCCTGGCTTTAGGAGGGGGAAGGTTCAGTCAGGCCTGGCTTTGGGAGGGGGTGGGTTCCACCTGGAAACCCCCAGGTACCCACTCAGGCCCGGCTTTAGGTGAGGGGATGAGTTCAGTCAGGCCTGGCTTTAGGAGGGGGTGGGTTCCACCTGGAAACCCCCAGGTACTGACTTAGGCCCGGCTTTGGGAGGGGGAAGGTTCAGTCAGGCCTGGCTTTAGGAGGGGGTGGGTTCCACTTGGAAACCCCCAGGTACCAACTTTAGGCCTGGATTTAGGAGGGGGAAGGTTCAGTCAGGCCTGGCTTTGGGGAGAGGAAGGTTTAGTCAGGCCAGGCTTTGGGAGGGGGAGGGTTCCACCTGGAAACCCCCAGGTACCCACTCAGGCCCGGCTTTGGGAGGGGGTGGATTCAGTTAGGCCCAGCTTTGGGAGAGGGAAGGTTTAGTCAGGCCTGGCTTTAGGAGGGGGTGGGTTCCACCTGGAAACCCCCAGGTACCACCTTTAGGCCTGGATTTAGGAGAGGGGATGAGTTCAGTCAGGCCTGGCTTTGGGAGGGGGTGGGTTCCACCTGAAAACCCCCAAGTACCACCTTTAGGCCCGGCTTTAGAGGATTTGGGTTCCACTTGGAAACCCCCAGGTACCGACTCAGTCCCGGCTTTAGAGGATTTGGGATCCACTTGGGGTTTTGGGCCCTTGGTTTGGGGTCGTTCCCGAGGCCGTTCCCAAGGAAAGCTTATTTTTAATTCCGAGTTTATTTTTAATTCCGGGTTTATAATTCTGAGTTTGGTTTTCATTCTGAATTCATTTTTAATTCTGAGTTTATTTTTAATTCAGTTTATTTATTACTCCGAGTTTATTTTTAATTCAGTTTATTTATAATTCTGAGTTTGTTTTTCATTCTAATTTTTTTTTTAATTCTGAGTTTATTTTTTATTCAGTTTATTTATTATTCCGAGTTTATTTTTGATTCTGAGCTTAGTTTTAGTTCCGAGTTTATTTTTAATTCAGTTTATTTATAATTCTGAGTTTATTTTTAATTCAGTTTATTTATAATTCTGAGTTTATTTTTAGTTCAGTTTATTTGTAACTCTGAGTTTATTTTTAATTCAGTTTATTTATAATTCTGAATTTATTTTAAATTCAGTTTATTTATAATTTTGANGGCTTTAGGAGGGGGTGAGTTCCACTTGGAAACCCCCAGGTAACACCTTTAGGCCTGGCTTTGGGTTTAGGAGGGGGAAGATTCAGTCAGGCCTGGCTTTGGGAGGGGGTGGGTTCCACTTGCAAACTCCCAGGTACCACTTAGGCCCGGCTTTAGGAGGGGGTGGGTTCCACTTGGAAACCCCAAGTACCACCTTTAGGCCCGGCTTTGGGAGAGGGAAGGTTTAGTCAGGCCCAGCTTTGGGAGGGGGTGGGTTCCACCTGGAAACCCCCAGGTACTGACTTAGACCCGGCTTTGGAAGGGGGTGGGTTCCACTTGGAAACCCCCAGGTGCCAACTCAGGCCCGGCTTTGGGAAGGGGAAGGTTCAGTCAGGCCCGGCTTTGGCAGGGGGTGTGTTCCACTTGGAAAACCCCAGGTACTGATTTTAGACCTGGCTTTAGGAGGTGGTGGGTTCCACCTGGAAACCCACAGGTACCAACTTAGGCCTGGTTTTGGGAAGGGGAAAGTTTAGTCAGGCCTGGCTTTGGGAGGGGGTGGGTTCAGTCAGGCCTGGCTTTAGGAGGGGGTGGGTTCCACCTGGAAACCCCCAGGTACCACTTAGGCCTGGCTTTGGGAAGGGGAAGGTTTAGTCAGGCCTGGCTTTAGCAGGGGGTGGGTTCCACTTGGAAACCCCCAGGTACCGATTTTAGGCCCGGCTTTAGAGGATTTGGGTTTCACTTGGAAACCCCCAGGTACCGATTTTAGGCCCGGCTTTAGAGGATTTGGGTTCCACTTGGGGTTTTGGGCCCTTGGTTTGGGGTCGTTCCCGAGGCCGTTCCCAAGGAAAGTTTATTTATAATTCCGAGTTTATTTTTAATTCTGGGTTTATAATTCTGAGTTTGGTTTTCATTCTAAATTAATTTTTAATTCTGAGTTTATTTTTAATTCAATTTGTTATTCCGAGTTTATTTTTGATTCTGAGTTTAGTTTTTAGTTCCGAGTTTATTTTTAATTCAGTTTATTTATAATTCTGAGTTTATTTTTAGTTCAGTTTATTTATAATTCTGAGTTTATTTTCAATTCAGTTTATTTATAATTCTGAGTTTATTTTTAATTCAGTTTATTTATAATTCTGAGTTTATTTTTAATTCAGTTTATTTTTAATTCTGAATTTATTTTTAATTCAGTTTATTTATGATTCTGAATTT